AAAGGGCTAGTCCTCAGCTTGTCCCCCTCAAATGATGAATACTGATGCTCCTCTTGGTTCGTAAAAGGTTGAGCTGGACCCTACCCCATACCACTAAGCCAAGATTCTTAAACATTTAATGCAGTATTTTATATAAAACCCTTAAGTTAACAATGAAACTCTGGCTGTTCAGTGTTAAATTACCACATATTCCATACAGACCAGTCAGTATAACAGACCAGTAATAGAATAAACTGAAGCATAATTAAATAAATGGAATCAACATAAATGCTGGATTTATTATTATTTATTGATTATTATTAATTTTTACATCCTTGTACATTTCTCTATCAATCTTGCCTCATAGACGTGAAATTCAGAAAAAGGTATCTGTCAAATAGCCACCTTTAGCTTGCCCATTAACATTATTGCTGTATGCAATCTAAATTTCACAACAACATAGACAACGTGATATCCAGCAGGACAGAAAGTTGGATCAAAGATTTTTTTATTAGTGGAGACAAGTCTTGTATATTTTGACCATGATGCTAAGAAGTATAAGAAAACTAGAGGTTAGATTTAATATCACAAAATAATGATCTGTATGCAAGAGCAGTAAGTTCACACAGCTTCAAAAAATGATATTCATACTTGCCATCTTGCACAAAGTGGTAGATAGTTTCAAATTACTTTATTCGGACATTCAATATGAATCAGCCAAAGAAAACACAATTTTCACTGTGCATATGATATTTTTTTCTATAAAGACTTGAAACGTTTTCTCTGTATAAAAGACTTGTTTTTTGGACTTGCAGTGTAAAGCAGCTACAGCTAACGTAAACAAGACATCGTAGATGTTCTTATTGTTGGGAAATTTGGAAACATATCTGGAAATTTCTTGACAAGTGCTTTGAATTGTTTTGAGTCTTTGGAGCTGTTCCTGAATACATGGTAACGATTACTGCAAGCCTTCACAAGGTGGTTCAGGTGACTTCTTTCACCGATAAATTTATCTACACTGCCCTTCAAATCTTCTCCGTGTGTAAACAGGATGATTGTGCTGTCCCTGATTCTCCAGCCAAGGCTTTTCTCTAGCTTCTCTAATATGTTTCTCTCACCATCTGTGAACCTGCCCAGCTGCATCACAAGTAACGTCACACAATGCCCTTCCTGACAGTACCTCTTACACTCTTCTACCTGTGCCTGGTTTACATGTTCCTCTTCATAAAAAAAGTCTGGGGTGTCAACTACTCTAACTGGTATCCCAAATATCTCCACTATTTTCACCTCACACTTGTTGGTGACTGGTGTGGAGCTGGGATAAGACTGAAAATGTTGGTTTGAACCACCAATGAGCTTCCCAGCAGTCAGGATGGTGTTTGCAGATGCACTCTTTCCAGTTCCGCTTTTCCCCAGAAGAACCATGTTATAGAGACCTTCCCTTGAACCATAGACACCTGGAAGATGTGGTCAGACAAAACATTTAGTTATTTTAGCAGCAGGTCCTTGCAGTTGCTAGAGTCCGACATTAAGACTGCCTGTTTTGGGGTTTTTTTAACCTCGAAATTTATAAAGGAGTACTTCAAATATTATTTAAATACTTTAATTTACTTTCCTGTCAAAGTTACATGTGTTGTGTTTTTTTGAAGCATACCATCATGTTGTCCGGGTGCTCTTTTTGCAGGCAGGGAAATCTGCTGTGAGCTGGCACCTAAAAAGGGCATATCATATACTCATATACTGTGATTTTGTAATTTTGTAACAACACAGTCAGAAAAAAGCAAATGCTGTACTGAGCAACTATGTTAGTGATAGCTTTTGAGAGCATCTGTTTAATTTATAAATGCTGAGTCTGCTATGAGTGCAGTGTGTGTGATGAATCTCTTTTCAGTAGGTAACTTGACTGTCGTTATATTACTTTCTAACAGCATGGTCGTCAAGCATCAGTGTTACTTTGCAGTTTTTTGTCCTACAACAAGTTACACTTCGGCATGAAATCTGTATTTTTCTGTGATTTTCACTTATAGTTAATTTCCATACCATCAGAAACTGATACCAGAATCTCTGTCTTATTTTATCAACATCATGACACCCCAAAGTCACTTTAAAGATGTTCTCATAATGCGAGTGGTTGCAGTTCTGCTTCCCATCTATCAAGCAACTGTTCAAAAGGCAGCGAGAATGCAAGTTCATTGTAGTCTGTATGGCTGCAATAATGTTGGTCACATCATGATTTTCAGTCAGAGTTCCCACTATTCATAATCAGATCATTATGCATTTGGTTAATATTCTCAAATTTAAACAAATACTTTCATTTTAACTTAGTGTTTGAACTGATATGCGTGTGTTTATCAGAAAATTATTTTTCATTTTAAACTCTGGTCTGAAATTTAATTTAAGATGCTGATGAAAATATTTCATTTATTGCCATAATTTATTACATAATTTAATACATGACATAAAGCCAAAAGATCAGTTTCCTAACATAGGTGGATTTAAGAAACTCACCTGTACTCCGAGGATATTGCTGAGCATGCCATGAGTGTCTGAAACATTAATGTGGTCATTAAATATCAACAGAGAAGGAAATGATAAAATATCACAACAATAGCTGTGGCAGGAGTTTTCTGCACTCTCTTGGTCCCAGCTTGTTTTTTTTTCTTTAATAAATCTTCTGAAATGGATGCTTATGCTTGTAATTGAGATTTATCTTTTTTTGAAAGACAAAACATAATTCACTTTAGTTTTGTTTTGAAAAATCCATTTGAATATATCACAAAGGACTGAATTCTGTCATTACCTGTGTTTCACTTTGGTTTGCATTCCTGTCTCTGTAGAAGCAGACCTGCCAGTGTTTCTCTGATAAGTCTCACCTGTATAATCACACTTTCTCCTGATAAAAAATATTTGGAAAAAAATGAACTGCATTCTTCAATGAGTTAATTAAGTAATTAATTAATTAGGCTTCATGTTCATTTTATTTTACAGGATGAAGTTTGGACTTGTTAAATTATGAAGGAGAGATTAAACATGTGCTAAATGTCAGAAATACTACTGTAACTTGTGAGGATTGAACACATTTAGTTAATTATTGTGATCTATGTATTATTCAGAATATAGAACTTTTTATAGTATTTGAACAATGTGGAATTTCACCATTGATAGAGACAATAGAGAAATACAAACTAGTTGTTAATAAAATATGTCTCAGAGGGAGACAATTCTTACCTCGTGCGTATCAGGTGATCTTTCCTTCGTTTCACAGTGTGTTGGGGGTAGTTTTTGTAGTCAAACTGAAATGGCCGTTGGTGTGAACACCACTCCTTACATTGGAAAGCAAGATTTTCATTCATAGTTGCCATCTGGATATTGTACATTTCCTTAATGCGACCTTGTAAATTCTCTCGACTCTCTTCCAACACGATGACTATGTTTTCTGTGACATTTTCTCCAAACACACGTTGAAGGTGAGAGATTTGAGTCACAACTTTTTCAACTTGTGTGTTTTTTGAATCTATTACCAATATGAACAGACGAGGTCCAGGATCAGAAAGAGCCATGAAATCAATGATTAGCTGATCTGGGAAATCATATTGCTCATCAAAGAAATCACAAGTACTGATGATTCTGTAGAGGTTGTTGTTATGCTCAACAAAATTGCCCAGTTTTGTGACAGAAGCATTGGGATCTCTAATGATTGTACTTCCAGTCCTGTTCACTGAGTCAGCACTCTTTCCGAGCAGAGCGATGGTAAACTTCCCAGGATAATCTTTAGGAAAGACAAACAAACTTAATTTTCCATAAAAATGTTGTACAAAACTTAAATCTGTCAATGTTCCTCCTTTATTCTACCTATGGGGTGTGATTCTTCTATAGTAGATTTATTTACACTTATTTTGATTATTTATATTTATTTAAACATTTATTTTTAACCTCTTACTTAAAAAAACTAACAAAATGTCAGTAAACAGACAATATAATCACTTATCTGCATCTATGAATGACAAATATACTTCAAATTTTAAAAAAGGGGAAATTTGTGTCTCAGTCACTCACTAAAAGCTCTAACGCTGTGCTGACACACACACACACACACACACACGCACGCACGCACGCACGCACGCACGCACGCACGCACGCACGCACACACACACAGCTCAAACTATCTATCTATCTATCTATCTATCTATCTATCTATCTATCTATCTATCTATCTATCTATCTATCTATCTATCTATCTATCTATCTATCTGTTGTCAGTATATAATATTGTAATAAAGCTGTACAGCAGTAACTTACATGGAGGCTGTGCAGAGCTCATCTTGTTAAGGGCTTAATCATGAAGACTGCAGGTTTCGCTGGAGTCTCTGAACTACCTTTGAAACAGATCAGACTCTTGCTGATATAGGCTGAGAGATTAGATCCGCCCTGTGGGTGGAGTGCGGTCTTTGATCTCACACTAAAACAGTGGAGTTGCATTTCAGTTCATTCTCTATGAAGTCGCGAACAGACAGGAGATGGGCAACAGTGGGTCGATACCAGAAGGTGAAGTTGGAGCTTTAATTTGCTTCAGACTAAATTTAGGCTTTCAGCAGAACCGAATAACACAAAGAATTGATAGGGAGAGATCATTTTTGCATAATTTAACTTCATTTATTGTGTGATTAACTCCTTGGGGACTAAACTGATGTAGCTACAGTACATAGCAACATTATAGAAGTAGGACAGAAGCCCCCCAAATTTACTCACTGGTGGTTGTGGAGATGAAGCAGGTGGAGGCTTAGTAGGCTCCGAGCAACCAGGATGACTTGGAGATGGAAAGGAGGTGGGTCATATGACAGTCTGAAAGGCAGAATGACAGAAGTGCACTGAGGTTTGTAGCACGGGGAACGAAGACTGATTTTCTCACACAGGTGAGCAAGAATCAGTGCGGGAAAGTGGAGGTGATGTAAAGAATAGACTAGATTTCAAGTCTCTATGAACACAGTCAGATTAGATACCAATGCTTCATCAGTTAACTTATGAATAGGCTCCATTTAAAATCTATTCATCCATGCAATAAGTATAACAAAAACGTTCTTTCTCCAGGTGACCCACTGAGGATTGTGATGATTGGGAAAACTGGTGTTGGGAAGAGTGCTGTTGGGAACACCATTATTGGAAAAGAGTTGTTTAAATCTGAAGTGAGTTCAGAGTCAGTGACAGAGACCTGTGCAAGAGAACGAGTTAAATACTGCAAAAGAGATATCCATGTGGTCGATACCCCCGGCATTCTGGATACATTTAAAAAGGCAGATGACATAAATAAAGAGATTGCGAAATGCATCCACATGGCCAGTCCTGGACCTCACGTCTTTCTGCTGGTCCTTCAGATTGGCAGGTTTACCCCAGAAGAAGAAAACTGTGTGGAAGCCCTGGAGAAACTCTTTGGACCTGAGGCATCGAACTACATGATTGTAGTCTTCACTCATGGTGACAAGCTGGCTGAGCAGAAGTCCATACAAGAGTATTTGACAGAAGGCCACCCTAAACTCAAAGAGGTAGTGAGCAGGTGTGGTAACAGGTATTATGTCTTCAACAACAAAGATAAGAACAGAGTTCAAGTGGTTCAGCTGATCAAGAAGATCGATGAGATGGTAGCAGCAAATGAAGGATCACACTACACCGATGAAATGTTTGAGAAGGCACGGGAGATTCTGCAACACGAGCGTGAAAAGACACCAGAAAAGCTGTTCAGCCACCGTGAGTTCATGGAAGAGCTGCGGCAAAAAACTCTCCAGTTTCAGCAAAAGTTGGCTTTTTTAGAGGACTAGCTCGGTGATTCAGGACCATTTTGACCATCATTTAAAGTTGATTATCTGCCATATGATGAACTAATTAATGGTAATAATTTTTAGTTAATGACAGTTTAGAATCCATTGTTATAGTTTCTAGATTTAGTGAAATGATTCTGGTGCTGATCATTTAAAATATGGTATGAAATTGGTTTCCATGTCAGCTGTATCACTGTAAATTCATCCATTTGTTCACATATTAGTCAAGTCTGGGTTCCAACTTTAAGTTTAAAATCAATTAAAATATGCAAACTCCAACTACATGTGTATAAGGGTAAACATTATCAAGCAAAGGGTGACAACTGATGTAAGGCTGTTAGACACCAAATGCACAGTGAAAAAAATGGCATCAACATGAAAGGATGCTGAGCTGTTGCTGATGTTTCTAAGCAGTAATAGAAGGAGAAGTTCATCCAGTTCTCATGAGGAAATTCACAAAGTTGGTGCTACATAAAGAATAGGTCCAAAAAATATTTTTAACACTCAAAATATTCCCACAGATTTTAGGCATCTGGTGTGTAAAGGCCTTTATTGTTTATGATGATTATAAATATAGAAAACACCACTTGTTATTATTCTGGAGATATACATAAAATCCTGACACAATTTAATTTAATATAGAACGTTTTCTAAAACTTTTTGTCTTTTCCTCACCACATCAGAATGTGATAATCTGGAGTTTACATTTTAGGGTGGATGCATGGAGCAAACCTTTGAAAACTGAAATCTTAGTAGATGATTAGAGCTCCTGGAGGTTGTGCTGGACCTCAAAATAATGCAGTGAATTTCAACACACGCTTTAATTTGGGATGCAATGGTTACAATTTACGATTCAATGACTTTTAAAAAATATATATTGTGAATTATTTAAGGATACCGTTATTACACATAAAAACATTTGATTATTTTAATATTTTTCTGTGCTTTAACTGATTTTTTTTTACCTGTTTTTCTATCATGATCTTGACTGCTGTGGATACTAATGGACACCCTGTCATGGGTCGCACCGCTAATACACACCATGCCCAGTGTGCTTGACCTGAAAGCCCGGTTCAGTAGTCTAGTGTGCTAATTGCTGTGTTTGGGCACAGTTAAGTGATTAGTGCCCTGACCTGTTTAAAGATGTGGGTCTGGGTGTGGTTCAATTGGACTTGGAAATGATACATAGTGTCATCATCAATTTCTTTGCTTAAGTAAATAAATCTGTAAGGCCTATGACAGGACAGTGTTTCACAACTGTTGTCTCAGAATTAAGCAACAAAAAATAGAAAATGATTAACCCAACTCAATCATTAAAGTCATGTGTTTGTCAAACTCCAAATGGAGCTGCCAGATTTTTAACTGGTTCAGAGAACAGCTGACACATCAGATCATTGCTGCTCTGGCTCAGTTACATGCATTAAAATACAGCAGATATGAGTAAGGAAAGTAGGACAGAAACAAAGAGATGTTAAAGTGATGAGACATCGTGATGCAAATTCAATTGTGTAGCTAAAGGCAACTGAAAAGTAAGCAGCAGGATTTCCTATGGATTGCTAAGGCCATAGACATATAAGTTTATATAACTGTAAATAACTCAGCCATACCAAAACCAGTGTCTGTGTTATTTTTGTAATTGTGATGAGAGCTAAAAAAATGTGAATTTAACTCACTAGCTTTTAATTGTGACTGAGTTATTGTTTTGTTCTTTGTATGTGTTTGTTCCACTTTTTACTTTTTTACTATGTGCAGCACTTTGGTCAACCTGAGTTGCTTTTAAATGTGCTTATTAACAAATTGATTGATTGATTAAAAAAAAAAACCCTCTGAAAACTTCCAAAAATGTCATCTTGAGGCAACTGTTGTGATTTGGCACCACATAAATAAAACTGAATTGAACTGAATTAAACTAAAGTGTGGTTCTTTTCCCCAGGAGTCGTAGTGCAGCTCTTTTAATGAAAAACTTGTGGCTGATGTCATTTCCCTGCTTTGGAAATTAACAGAATTCAAAATATTCACTCTTTGTTTTTTTTTTTAAATCTGTTTACTTTTTCTTCTTAATATAATGTAAACTGCCAGAAACACTGAAACAGGAAAATATGAGGAAGAAAGTTACAAAACTGCAGGCGACACACAGGCCTCATTCAAGAGAAATAATAATGAAATATTACTGTTAAATGAGTTTTGTGTCTCTGCTTCTGTCTGCTTTTACATTTGAGCTTTTATTGATAGCTGGATGGAAGCCAGACTTTGGTAGGAGATTTAGACTTTTTGGGTAGAAAAACCTGTTATGTACAGAGCACGTTAGCATTTTTCTTTCCCACTATAAAAAAATCAATTAACATGATGCTATGACTTGATAATGATAACCTCAGATAATGTCATGTTATCTAATACGGCACTATTATATTAGATAACATATTATCTGACTGCAGTTTTACCTCATGACACTGCAAATTGCTAACTGTATTTCTTTTTATGAAAGCTTATGGGAAAAGAAGCCTTTTTCCCGCTTATCTTTATTACAACGAAAAAGAAAGGAAAACACTGACGAGGATAACAACAGATTGTCATAACTTTTTATATTCAAAAGTCAAAGTCTCTTTGGTGTCCATTCAAATGGACATAAAGGTTCACAGGAAATATAGTAACACAAACCGAACTTACTGTACAGAAGTACGGCGGAAGTAGTCTTTAAAAACTCGGTTTGCGTTTCCCGGCAGGTTTATCTCCACCTGGAAGCAAACCAAAGCACACTAATAAAATACTGATCTGTTGCTTTTATCCACGTGTTTCATTGTGATTTTTATACTTCTGATGTACTTTGGTTTTAAAACTGAAAAAATATTTTTATACTTTTACACCTCGTTACTGCATGTAAAGGCCCAATTATGTGCTATCAGCCCAAACTGTTACCATTACTTGTTATAATTTTGCTTTGTTAGGAAAACTCTTTACATTTAATTAAGATGTTACTTTATTTGCAGCTGGACAGAAACTGTAGAGACTTTGAAATTCCATCATATAGACTTGCTGTTAGTGTGATTTGATGCTAATAAATAAAAGAGCAGTATTTCATTAGCCCAACACACAGGGTGATCCGCGTCAACTCGCTAACGGAGTTTTGCTGCATTAATGCGGTTGTGGCGTTACTGTCATTTTAACGAGATTAACGCTGACAGCACTAAAAACATTTGATCTAACAGCTTAACCTCTTTTTAAATGCTTAAAAAGAAACATGGGGAAGTCCAACTACAAATCTGAAGTCAAGTAATAATAATAAATAAATAAGTTTGGATTAATTTGTTACTGATTTCATAAACTTTGATTCATACTTTCATACTTTGAAGTGTAGTTTAACTTGTAGAAGTAATTGTACTCAAATTTCAAACTCAGAATAAATTCAAATGGATCCTTTTTGTAAGCCAAATAATGAGATATTTTCAAATGGTGTAAGTTTTTCCCATTGCATGTTGACTAAACATCCAAACAACCCACTGTCAAATAAATCAAATCAATTTACGCTGCAGCTGATACCTGTTAACAGCTGAAACAACGGTGACACTTAGTGGAAAATATCCAACACTGCGAGTTACAGTGAAGACACATAATGCTCTGACAGGAACACTGAATTATTACAGCTGTGCTCATGTGTTAAATACTAACATATGTGCATACTTTGGTGTATGTACGCAGATTTATAAACACTACTTGATAAATAGCACTGCTAAAGTCAATGTGTTTTTGTGTTACTTCTTTGTGATAAAGAAAAATGAAAAAGTTAATTTTTTGTGCATTATTAGGTAGTGCCAAGAGCCATGGTTTCACCATCATTACCAACAATTTTCTTATCCATTTATAATAACACAATTTTAATACGCACTTATTTACTGGAGGCATGTATGCATATCTCCTTGCTTTTAAAGTATATGAAAATATATAACCATTTAATTTATGAATATTATATATGGTTGATAGATGTGACATGCAAATTTTAAAGTTCAGGTGAATAATTTCTGCTTAAAATAATGCATTCACTTCATGAATTCATGTGATTAAGTATTTTCCAAGGAATAGGTTGGGGCAGTACAAGGTGGCTCTATAGTATAGCGATTTACACATCAGATCAGTTGTACCTGTGATATGTCCTGGCAATCTGTCATGGCCCAACAATAATTATACACACTTCAGAAGATATCCCATCCTGTCCACAGTTACTGGTCTTATGAATGCAGCTTCTTGTGTCCAATTGTCCAGTCCCATAGTACGCGCTGACCATTAAGTATGTACAGTGAAGTATGTATATGTATTTAGCTGTGTCACAGCATTTCCTAATTGTACAGCAGTATTCGTTTTTGCCATTAGATGGCAGTAGAGGCCTTGGTATGTCATTTTATCCACAACAAATTTACATCCAGCGCATGGATCCAGAAAAATCCATGTTCCTCTCAGAGATGGTGGCTGTTGGATGTTCCAAGTGATTGATGTTATTAGATTGAAAAGCTGCTCACTAAGAAATGTATCGAGTTCCTTATTATGTCCCTAATTAATTACATAATGAGTTCCTTAATAAGTGTAATATCTTTAAGTAAAAGAATTTTTAGGCTGGATAGGACAGCATATAATACCCAGTGGGGCATGATCTGCTTGGTTAAGAATGGGTGGTGTCTGTTTTGGTCAGACTTTTGAAATGTTTGGTCGCCTATAAAATCTGCCAACATGTATCCTCCTCTGTGGCATTGTGAAGAACACAACAAGCTTATGTTGGATCAGAATATATTAACTCATTGGTGGCAGGTGAGTAAAATGACAGTGTTGTGTTGCAGTTTTAAAGTATGGGGACACAAGTTTGTAGCTTTAACCATTGCAGTTCATATGAGAAACAGCAGGAAAATGACTGATTTACTGATATTTATTCTATTTATGCTGTGATGAAATCAGAATAAGGAAGAGCGAACATGAAGATAAGAGGGCAGAGAGAGCAGGTAAAATAAAATGATTAAACCCTGAAAACAAGCACAAGGTTAAAAAAAATAGAAGAATAGCCCAGACTAATATTTGGTCCAATCAAAATAGATTAATTTACTTACTCTTCTATAAGTCAAGTGAAATACAAGCCATCTTTTCATCTGACATGCAATTTTCAAGTGTTTCTTAAATTTGTCCAGGATTTTAGATTACACATAAGGCAAAAGTATGATTTCAGTGGAAGGTTAGCAGTAGTAGAATTTAATTATAATTATTATACAGTCACAGTAAATTACACACCGCTTCAAAAAATTATATTTGTACTTGCCACCCTTTACAAACTTGTAGATAGTTTTTAAATAAGATTATTCAGACTGAATCAGCCAAAGCTAACACAAAGTTCACAGACAACATGATGTTTATTGATGGTTATAGTGTGAAAGCTGGAAACATTTTCTGACTATAAACAACTAACATTTGGGCATTCAGTGTGTGTTAGCAAAAGTTAACCGCAACAGATCAGTGGGAATGATTTTTTTTGTTCTGAAACCTGGAAACATGTGTTCAGATGTCTCGAAGAGTTCCTTGACCTGTCTGGAGTTCTTGGAGGTGTTCTTGAATACATGGTAACGATCGCCACAAGCTTCCACAATGCGCTTGAGATGAATCCGTTCACCAATAAACTGCTTCACATCACAATGCAGATTTTCTCCGTGTGTAAACAGGATGATTGTACGGTCGCTGATCCTGCCAAACTTGTTCTCCAGCTTCTCTAATATTCCTGCCTCACCATCTGTGAACCGGCCCAGCTGTATCACAAGTAATATCACATGCTGCCTTGACTTGCAGTACTGCTTACACACCTTGATTTCTTCCTCATCTACGGGTTGGTCTTCGTAAAAGAAGTCTGGGGTGTCGACCACACTAACCCATCTCCCAAACATCTTTACCGTTATCTCCTGACACTTTGTGGTCACCGGTGTAGAGCTTGGGTAAGAAAAAAAATGCTGAGCTGGTCTACTCTGATGCTTTCCAGCATTCAGGAGGGTGTTTCCTGAGGCACTCTTTCCAGTCCCAGAGTTTCCCAACAGAATGATATTAAATACGTTACCCCTGCCACCTGGAAGAAATAGTAATAGCAAACAGTCAGTTATTTGGCAACAGATATAACCTGAGACGTAACAGAAAGGATCAAAACCTTATTTATCTAACCTCTTTCTGCAGATGAAGCAAACCACCATCAGCTGGACTGTCTTGGCACATTGTATTTTTAAGCAGGCAATGTCAGTTAAATTAACCCGACTGAGGTATTGTCTTCATGTATTAAGGACAATGCAGTGACTTTATAAAGCTGATGAAGCAAAGTGGGCACTGTCATGACAGATCACATTAGCTCACAGTATAAGTCTCACATAAAGTCTCACTGATTACTCAGAAAAGGAAGGTTGTTGCAGTGAAGCTGATCACGTGTGGAGAAGAGTGAAGCCCTGCTTAAAAAGTCTCCATCCTACTTTTTCTTATTATTAAGAACAATCCACCATTACAAACTGAAACCACATATTGCAAAAGAAATAAACCAGTTTTTGTCATATTATATCACCCAAACAGTTATATCTTATTAACACATATTAAATTAAGGGCACTATGTTGTTGGGAAAATTTGACAAATGTAGTATTCTGATTCTACTGGGTCATTATTTAACCACCAGGTCTAAACTATCCTTAGAATTATTATTATATAAAAGTATTCTCATTAACTTAGCTCATATGAAACACAGTTTGGATGTGTAAGAAAACAAATTGCTGCTGAGATTAATAATTGATAAACATGTATTAAATTGAGTGCCAAATCTTAAATACTTTTTATTTCTATTTAAATAGCTACAGAAATACTGTAATTCAGTCCTGAATGTATATTTGAAGTTTTTAAATTCCTGATGCTATGATATTAAACACAATACTTTTAATGTGATAGAACCATTGATGCCATGAAGTAATTAAATTAACAAGACGTCACTTACCTGAACACGTAGCTGAGCTCATCTTGGCAGCTTTCTTAATGATGTGCTGACAGTGTGCAGGTTTCAGTGGAGTATTTGAAACACCTTTGAGGCTCCTGCTGTGTATACTGAGAAAATAGATCCACCCACTAGATGGGCGGAGCGCTATCATCTACTTCACACTCAAAGAGTGGAATGCTGCTTCATTTCATTCCAACAAAAAAGTCACAGACTAAACATCAGCAAAAGAAAATCAGATTTATATTGCTGTAAAAAGTTAGATAAAACTTGTCAAATTTAATGCAATATAAAACGTATATTTTTCTGCAGGTCCTCCAAAGAAGGATTGTTACAGTATTACTGGCCAAAGAGGTGTTGGTCAATAATACAGGCAGGGTAATTAGTTAGATAAAATGAATTCATGATTGGCCAGTTAAATCTCTCTGGTCAATGCTGTTGGCATTCTGGTTGACTCTAAAAGTACAGAAATTGCAAACTGCATCTATTTGTCCTCTCCTGTGGCTCACGTCTTCCTGTTGGTCCTTCAGATAGACAGGCTCTCTGAAGAGGGAAAAGTCAGATTTAATATTTTGTGTGTCTTTCTGTGCCATTTTCAGTGAAATATAGGGATTAGGATATTTGCATCATTACATTCTGTGAAACAACAGCAATGTGAAACAACTAGCTGTACTGTTGCTGTGGTTTCGTGTATTCATTGTTTGTACATAGGTGAAGGAAGCAGACCAACCAGTATTCCCTCCTAACTTTTCACAAAATGATGCTTTGATAAGACTGGTAGATGTTTCATTTCTACAAAAACAAAGAACAGCGTGAAAAGTGTGTCCAAAGCAGAATTCCTTCAAAGTCTGAGGTAGACCCCATGAGAGTGCAGGTAAACCAGGTAAACCAGGTACTTTTGTTGCCTCAAAACACAAAGGAGGTGGTGGAACTTCCCTGCACAATGCCGAAATTATTTAAATCATATACTCTATATAATAGTTTATATCAAATAGTGATGATAAATCAGTGCAAACAAAGATCACATGGAGATCCCTGTGGGTTAATCATCCTGCCTCTTCCACTGAGTATTCCCATGATCTTTGTGCACATCTTAAATAACTGTGAATCTCTTCACCTGGCAAGTCATTGGTTTCATCCAGCCCCATCCCCATGCTTCATGGTTTCAGGAATTTTACAGCATTTTTTAAGCAGTCTTTTGCAATGTCAGTTTAACCTGATATCACAGTAAAGCGTGTTATAGCCACGCCAGGTCCACCGTGTCCATTTCATGCTTTGGCTTGACATTAATAACACATTTGCATGTATGTACATGTTAGCCGCCTAGCCTAATTGTGTTTGGCAATTAACGACTCTGGAATGTACTTCATATGTTTTTTTTCTCACTACAGAGGCTTGGCTTTAAATCTCTCCCCCTGCTGGTAATGCAACTTCTAATCCGTGTCCATTTTCTCATTTTGGAGAGGCAAAGCAAAAAATAGACATGGTGCAACAGTGTGTCTATTACACAATTTGCCATGATACTGGTTTGTACAGTTTGTGCATATCTTTACAAATACTTATCACTTTAAATTAAGAAAGACAAGAAAGACATTAGGTTTAAAAATGAAAATCATAAAATATGTCCTTGTCATGTCCAAAACAAAAAGGCCTTTTATGATAGGACTTGATAAAAAAAAAACAGATAGTAGCAATGGCTGAAAGACATATCCATCTTTTCTGGTAAAAAAACAAAACAAAAACAACAACAACAACAACAAAATAGATCTGCTCTGTCCTGCTTATCTCAACAAAGGGTTCTTTTTATAACTTTTTAAAAACAAATATATAATTACTATTTTTTCTATTTTTATGTATTTATTTCACAAACTTGTTTAAAAAAATGTTTATATAAAAAAACTTGATCACATCATTCTCACAGTACTGAATAGTACTAGATGTACAGTCACGTACAGCTGCAAGTTTCAGCGCACAGGTTTGCTCCATTTGTTTCACCCCTTACAGCACCTGTTTTACCAGGATGCTGTTGGTGACTGATGGGGATCAAATTGACATCTTGGAAGGACTAAAAATAAATAAATAAACCAGCAACTTGCACATTGCCTTAATTCTTTAAACGTCACCTATCTGATCTAAAAACTCTCCAAGGGACCATCACTTTTTTCTCCTGCAGCGTTGATGATGGTGAAATCCTTGATAAAAGGCATGCTTTTCAGTATGACTCAGGAACTGCACAGATATGTACTGCAAGAGATTAAGTTGACTGGTTGCATGATTTAACACTGCACATGTTTTTGTTAGTGTAAATGACAGTAGGCCAAAAAATATCCTGCTGAACTTGTCAATCAAAAAAATCAATCAGTCAAACTCTGTTTGTGTAGCACATTTCATGTAGGTTAGAACAATTTTTTCAGATGACTCACAAGCCAATGATAACACAGACTATGTTTAGCTTAAAGTACAAACAGGCATTCATTGTTAGAAGCGACATGAAGGCTGCAGAAAGACCTGTTTCTACTCACCAATCATCACAGTGGTGTATTGTCAGGACCCCTTAGTGTTAAACTGTAACAAACCAAAAAGCCATTTGGTGTAATCTTTCAACACATATGTGACAGGCTGGGTTAACACCATGAGGCCCCAAGCAGATGTGTTTCACTGGAAAAGTTTGCTTTATAATGTGAAAGTCTTAAAATTGATTTTTCACTTGGTTAGACTACAGAACTAAGTGGAGGCACAGGAGGAGCCTGTCGCAGGTCTAAGTATCAACTGTCTCCAATACCTATTCACTCATACTTTAGGATCAGCATGTGACAACCCACACAGTACTAAACCACCTAAAGCACAGAGGGTGCTATCTGATAACACTCTTAAGTGACTGTAACTGTGCATTCAGTGTTATCATCCAGGGCATCCTAATCAGCAAATTACAAGACTTACAAATCTCCAAATCTCCCCACCTTCACCTGCATCAAAGACTTCCTCACGAACTGCCCACAGAAAGTCCAAATAGGACCCACCTCTCCTTCTCCCTCACTGGAGCACAACAAGGCTGTGTGCAGTCCTTTACCACTATTGAATGGTACTAGGAGTACACTGACTTGCTCCTATTCTCTAAAGGACCTTGTATTGTGCTCAGAGATTTGAATCTATCACCGTGTTTAGAGTAGATGTACATTTAGCTGTATACCCTGAAGAAATTTTACAGAAGTAAAAAAAAGCGGGAATCCTTATGAGACTGATGATCAGTGCACAGGGGAATAGGTCCTTTGGCAGCCATTCAGATGTACAGCGGTCCCTCGTTTATCGCAGGAGTTACGTTCTAAAAATAACCTGTGATAGGTGAAATCGGCGAAGTAACCAGTGTTTACAATTATTATAGATGTTTTAAGGGCGTAAAACCCCTCACTACACACTTTATACACTTTTCTCTGACAGGCACGAACATTTTCACATTTTTCTCTCATGTTTAAACACTCTCAAAGTTCCAAGATTCGTAGAAAAATAAGTTCGGTATTATAGAATGAAACCAAAGATCAAACCCTGTTTTCAGGTCCAGAACATGGGAATAGAGCAGCTGCGAGAGAATTCAACATTAATGAATCAATGGTACGGAAGTAGAGGAAGCAAGGAGAATGAGTTGAGGAAAGTTTGACTTATCTGACTGTTTTGTTTTGTTTAATGCGCCTCATAATCCGGTGTGCCTTATGGTCCGAAAAATACAGTAACTTCTACCTTCCTTTAGCTTTAACTTTTTGTGCTGTGGTTAACATGTTCCTCTGCCTTTTGGGTGTTACTGCAGGTGCCTTTGATGATGCAAAACGTTTCGTCGACATTGTTGTGCTTGTTGGGGAGAAAACTTACAGGCATACAGTGCAGCACTTCAGAGTCACACTGCCAACGATCGAAGATTTATGTAAATTTAACAAGCTGAACACATTCTGTACTGTACAGGAGCCAGGGTATGGAGGAGATTTATTGACAATGGTCTACAGCTGATACAATGTGCTGTGAAAAAAAGAAAGAAAGAAAGAAAAGCATGCAAAATTGCACAAAAAAAATCCACGAAACAGCGAGGCTGCGAAAGATGAACCGTGTTATAGCGAGGGACCACTGTACTTCCAAAGTGACCGGTCATTTATTGTATGATCAATGACCACCAGGTGTCACTATTGTGTTACCTAGACAACCAAATGTTCCTGACAACCAGGAATTTCTGTCAATGAGATCCTCAGTATGTACTCCTGTTGAAATGTGCTTGGCAGAGGATTCTGGGTGTTGGACTTCACTCTGCGGTTAGTTTTTAAAAAAATAATAATTATTATTATTTTTAGCTCAGATGTAGAACACACACAGGCATATCTTTTGAAATGACATAAAGTTAAAAGAGACAGAATAGGGGTTTTACGTTTCCCTTACTCTGACACTTTGATTTTGATTTGACTCACTGTTTTTTTTCTCATCAGTTAAGCAATGAACAATGTGCCAGTACACATTTTTCATTGCCAAACTTAGATAGCAGATGCCCCTGCTGAACTGCTGTGGATGCTGTGAGGTGGGATTATGGGAGTTGTTGGCTTTGTATTGGTAGGAGAATAACACATAACACATTTATAACAGCTACATTTAGAGAGCACTACAGGACTCACTGTCACTGGACTGGGATGTTATGTCTGGGCTCTCTTTGATCACAACAGGAACCCTGAACGATGGTGAAGACCTTCCCCTATGTTTGAGGCTCAACATGCTAGTGCATGCATGCTTTGTCAGGACCCCTGGTTGTTACATTTTTACAGAACCCCAGAATCCTTTTAACTTTAGGTTTTTAAAGAGTAGGATATCAAACAGGCTCTAATACAGTTCCCTCAATGTCTGAAAAAGACACCATGAGGGACATGAGTCCTGCTTTAGGACTCAATAGGACTCATTAGGTCATCCAACAAAAGGTCTAATAAGTATATGCCATAGTGAGGCATCCCTCTGTTAAAATTCACAAGAGTCACTATTCCTCCTGCAGTTTTCTTGTGCTCAGGGTTAAGGACACATCTGTTGTTTT